GCTCTCGACGTCGGCGTCGTCGACGACAATGTTATTGATCGACGCCGCGCGGAGGCGTCGCTGTCCGTCGCTGTATCGCGGCGGTCGACGGGGAGGAAGAACGGATGGGAGGGGAAGGGGGAGAGGAGGTTTGGCGGTGGAATCACCATCGAAATATTCTCGCCGATGTTCGGGGCAGCGAGAGGGGGAGGGGAAAATCGCACCCTCGAATTGAGACGCGCTATTGTATATATGCCGCGAGATTATTACGCACGGCGTATATCGCTGAGGATTCTAGGATTCTCCCTCGAACATTCTCCCCGACACGCCGGTACCTGTATCAAAATACAGAATGATGCGCGAAAACATCAGCTCTACGATTTTTTCCCCCCCCCCCCCCCCCCCCCCCCCCCCCCCCCCCCCCCCCCCGGTTAGAAACGGTCACGCGAGTACGTACAAAAAATACACAAGAGAAATATCTCTGACTCACCATTATGACATCAGCTCGTGTAGACTATAATTCTCTGTACTATATTTCACCCCCTGTAGCGCGCGTATTGTATATAATCGTCGCGCATTACGATTAAAGTTACTCGCGAGAGATGGTGAAGGACACTTTAATCGATATATCGACGTATTCGCATTATCCGTTCAATTTTGCGTGATTCGCAGCGCCAGTGGCTGTACGCGGCAGGAATAGGAATTAACTTGGTCGACAACGCAACTGTTGGTAATGCCAATCTCCTTTTTATCGAGGTGGTCAAATTTCATTATATATATCTAGATGATATGAAATGCTATTTCGCTGGAATTGCTTGTCTAGGTTTTTTTTTTCTCAGAGTTACCAAAAATTTAAACATTTAATGTAAATTAAGAAATATTGTAAATCTAGCGGATAATACAGAAATACATTGATATATCGATTAATGCGTCCTCAGTCAAAATATGCTAATATTATATAATTTCGTGATCAACAATATTAAATGGCAAATTCCAAAATTTTCTTCGAAATATAATATATATATATATA